TTATTTATCCAAGAGAAATGAAAACACATGTCCACACACCAAAAAAACTGGTCACAAGAATGTTCATTGCAACCTAATTCTTAACAGTAAAAAAATTGGAAACAGCCCAAATATCCACTTAATAAGGGAATAACTAATCAAACTGTGGTATATTCACAGTAATGGAATACTATTCAGCAATAAGATAGAACTTAATATATAACAATATGAATGATCTCAAAAACCTTACACTGAATCAAAGAAATCAGTCACTAAAGAGCATTTACTATATGATTCTATGTATATGAAGTTCAACAGTACACAAAACAAATCCATGTAGATAAAAGTTAGAAAAGAGATTACTATGGGGCAGGGGAAAGGGATGTGAGGCTGGATGATGGCAATGCCCTGTATTTTGATTGGTCAAAAATCATTGACTTGTACATGTAATATCTGTTCCTTTCCCTGTCTGTATTTATACCTCACTTAAACACATACACACAAATACATACAGTAAGATGTGAAATTCACCCTCCTCCAGTCCTATTACCTTTGCCTGCAGTAACCACTGTTTATAGACTGGTTTGGAATTTTCCAGGAGTTTACAGGAGTATATACATGCACCATTTCCATATGCATACATATATACATCTTAGTAGGCTTTTATATTTTAACATAAATAAGTTTAAACTATATGTATTATTTTGATACCTGCTTTCTTTTTCAATTAACAATATGTCTGGGTTTTTCCATGTCCATCCTTCAGTTTTGCCTTAATGTCCTTTGCTAGCTTAGGGCTCCATAGTATGAATGTGCTTGATTCCTTCGGTCAGTTTCCTTCTGATGGATGATTAGGTATTTTTCAAATTTTCAATGTTATAGTGCTACTGTGAAAATTTTTGTACATATATGTTTGTGCACATGGGCAAGCATTTTCCTAGGCTGCTTTTCTAGAAGTGGATTTGCTTGGGCAAAAGTTACGTACACAGTACTGACAAGTTGGTTTTCAAAAATGCTTTTGTCACTGACACTCCTCCTGACCACATGTGAGAGAGCTAGATTCCTACATCCTCTCCAACAATGGATGTTATCAATCTTTAAAGATTTTGGGAGCAGGTGGGTAAAAAATGGCATCTTATTTCTGCTGAAGTTTTAAAAGAGGAAGTTTTGATTTTTTTCTTTATATACAAATATATATGTGCCCTTCGAGAAACATATGCTTCCCCTGCCCTCTACTCTGGGCTATATAATTCTAGAGAACTGTTCTCTTTCCTTTGGGAAGAAAGATAAAGAAAGAAGAGAAGTACTAAGCCCTGAAATGTAGTATGATAAGTGGGAGAAAATATGGTATTGAAAGTTGGAGAACTAAAAATCTTAAAGGTTTAAATAGATGAAAGTGATCTCAAACCGGGTGAAAGTTGTAGTTATTTTAAGTTTCAGAGAAGGTGTAAAATTTTGGAAAGGATGTGAAATGGTTTCTATATTCTACTAGACACATAGTATCTATTAGATCCAAAAATGTCTATGACATAGATGCAAGCATTTATTCATTCAAATAAATATTTTTGAGAGCCTGATGCTCTCTCAACAGCAAGTTAGAGAGTACTTTCTAATTTTCATTTGACAGACTATTCTAGTGAAAACAGCAGAATTCTGTCCTCTTGGACATTCATTCTTACTATGGTAGCGTTGATACCTGTTGGAATTTTAAGATTTAATCCAAATTCATTAATGATGGCTGAATTTTGAAAAGTGCCATGACTTGCTTTAATGAAACTGATCAATTTAAAGTGGACATTTGAAAACTAATCCTATCACTGACTCTCCAACTAACCTCCATCTGCCCTGTCACCCCATAACTGCTTTTTCTTTAAAAAAAAAAATGCATCTTGGATATATTTTTTTATGTGTTTCCTGGCTGAAGAATCTCACTCTAAAGAAACTTTTTTTTTCCTGAACAGGTCAGTCTCTGGCAGAGCCTTGGAATGCCTGAGTTGTTTAGTGGGTGGGGGTTTGGGAAGTGAATGTTAATGACACCTTCTTCTGAGGCAGTATTGCCAGAAGGCTTTGCAGTCTGCACCCTGAGGGGCTCCAAATTTACTAAGTTTGGAGATAATAGATATCTGTACTGAGTTAGTTTGATTTATGCAGTGTGGGTTTACTCTTGCAGGTGAGGTAATATGCTAAGAGGACCGATAGGTCACTTACAGAAAATGTAAGTAATTGGAAATGCCGAATTTATTACTAGCAAAAATCACTGGACATCATTTCTAGTGAGCTTCTGTGGGTGCATTTTCTCTTCTCCGAAGGATCTCAAAATTTTTTTTAATTTCATGACTTCTTCATCTTGCCTTGCTCTCTCTTCTCCTACTCCATAAATTGCGGTTTCTGACCTGTGCTTTAGGTAGACTTACGGTTTCCCTGAGGGGCACCTGAGAGATTGTCTAGTAGATGAGTCACTCATCACCTGTTCCCACCTGACCTTACTCCTTACCTCTTTCCTACCTCTGGCAGAGCAATTTTTCCTTCCCTTTTTAAGTTTCAAGTAAGCTTTTATTAGAAGAAAGAGTTGCACTGCAGCTGGAAATGTATTTGAAAACCATAGCACTCCTGCAAAGGAGTTTGCACACTGTATATGTATCTCTTGATATTCATCTGTACAAAGACAAGATGATACTTTTTATCACCTTGCTCTGCATTGATCTAATTGGTCCAAATCCTAAGCAGTGCCATTCAAAACCCAACTTTTCTAATCACTGGTGTATTAAGTAGGACAGTATTTGAAGGAATGGTTGGAGAATGCTGATGATCAGCCTCCATCATAGAATCTGAACTTCAGTTTCTCTTTTTTTCTGAATGACTTATTCTCAATTTAGGAAAGTCTTTAGGGATGCATGGATTTTGAGTTCAGTTTTTTTTGGTTGGGCTTTTTCTGGGGGGGGGGGCGGGGTTGGAAAAACTGCAGGATCCTAGAGAATAAGGTCTAATTTGTTCAGATTGCTCCTAGAACTTTATGAGAGTTTTTTTTTTAACAGTGCAAATCATGTTTGTGACAATATATTTTATTTATCACTGAAACTTGGGAAAAAATATTTAGCAGTTAGTTCTATGTAAGTGTGTGCTTCAAAGTAATAAAAAGATATTTTTTATAAAACCATCCTCTAATTAAACAATCTCACATCCTGAGCACTCACTTTATTTCTTAAGTAACTAGAAAATGTGCTTGCCCTGGGTTAATATGAGCTTTGGAACTACTATATCCTTGTTTCTTTAGGAAGCGAGAGGTCATTCCTAACATCTTTATGGTAACCAAAAGATAATTTCCTAAAAGTAGATAGTGTATAGACTTACAGTTGATAGTTTCATATGTGTGTTACTGTATCCAGTAAAAATGGGAAATATCAGACAGCGATTTTCTAATCCAAATAATGACAAAAAGACCGTTTTTCTATCTCACCATTTACCCTCTTAGTTAGTGTCTCCAGGAATATTTAAATCACTCCTTCATCTGGTTCTGTAAATATTTATAAGGAGCCAAAGTGTTCAGAATATTTTTATTAGCAGGATCCCTTAATAAATAATTATCTTGAATTTCATTTTCTTGGAGTGGGAGGGAGTATGGAGTATATAACTTTATGAGGACTAGAAATAAGAGTTTCTTATTGAGAGTGGCTTCTACCTGATTATGAATTGTTTCAGTTAGACATGTTTGCTGTTTATCACCTAGTTCTGTTCTCGTTCATAACTGTGCTAGAGCGATGATTCTCAATATACTTTGGGGGTCAGGGCTCAGTAAGAGTGGCTGACTCAGCAATGCTGGGGAAAGGGGGAAGAAGGATTAGGAAGGACCCCAAGTGATTATGCTCCATGGCCTTCCTCTTTTGGAATCACTGCTCCTGGGTCCTCTGTCCTGCCCTCCTGCCTCCTCATGTGTTGCATTAGATTTATTGCAGCTGCTGTGGACATGGTTGCCTAAATCTGTGGAATGTTTTGCTAAATGCTGCTGGTGAAGTAGTTCATGTTAAGCCTGTGACTACCCTCAACACATGCACACCTTTTTTTCAACCTGTCCTCTATCCTTAGTCTTTTACTTACTTGATCACTTTAGAATTTTGTACTTTGGCATCCTATAGATTCGTTAAGAACTTTTATTCCAAGCACCCAGACTTTAGTTAAAATGATGATTAGTCAAAGTGTTACTCTGTTTGAGCTAAGTGATGACAGTTGTTTGATTGGACCCTTGTAATTATTATTTTAAAATCAAAATAATAGATCATGATTTCAAAACAGGAACATGATCCAAAAGAATAATAGTAATTAGAACAGCAACCACTTAGAAGAAAATAAATGCCCCATCATAGACCACAGGCCCTGTGGGCCCTGAGTCCCACCTGCCTTTGCAATCCCATCTCCTACCTCACTTCCTCCACCACCACCCTCCACCCTCTGGACTAGCCTTACTGCAGCTTTCCGGTTTCTAGAAGTAGCCATGTTATTTCCTACCTTGGGAGTTATACTTGCTTTTCTCTCTACCTGAGGAGCTCCACCACTAGTGTTTTCTTGGCTGGCTCCTTTGAGTTTCACCCATAATCTCATCTCCTTAGGGAGGTTTCCCTGACCACAGTGACTGCAGTCATTCCCCTACCTCACCACCTGTCCACACAGGCAGTGCACATCATTATCTCTTACAGCATGCTATTTATTTCCTTCAACCTTCCTTCAACTTAGGAAACCTAAGTTGTGCCTCCCTGTTACTTGTCTCTTTCCCCCGCTGGATTCCAAGCTCCATGAGGAGGATGAAGACTATACTTGTCTCAATCACCACTGCAGCCTTAGTGCCTTCCTGGCACCTGGCATTAAATGAGTGTTTAAGACATGTTTGTGGTTGAATGAATGGAACATTCTGAGGTCCTAAATTTTTCTGAACCCCTGTCAAGATAGTCTATACTTAGTACTTCTATTATGATAACATATGATCTTCCAATGGTTGAATGTAACTGAACTGTGCTGACTTTTCTCAGGCATATGAAAGATCAGAATAAGAAGGTGGCCAACCTCAAGCACAATCAACAGTTGGAAAAAAAGAAGAATGCCCAGTTACTGGAAGAAGTCCGCAGGCGAGAGGATAGCATGGCCGACAACTCTCAGCACTTGCAGGTGAGCTCAGCCTTCTCCTCTTAATCCCTAAATAATTGGAGATTGACTTCCTCCAAAATGTACCCATTGCTATGGGAAAATGTGCACAGAAATGGTGGACTTGCCTTTGCTTTGACTCTAGCACTAACAACATACTCCCAGGGAACCCACTAGATCTTTCTGAGTGTGAAGCATCATTTTCAAAATGGTGCCCAAGAAAAGCTGGTTATGGTGGAGCCTACTAATGCTTCACAGAGTCTCTTGGTTTCTGTACCTCAAAAGGTAAGGGCTTGTTTATATAGTTGGCAAAAAGCTTAAAACAGAAATGTCTTCCTTTAGAATTATATTTGAAGTTGTTTTGGTGTCAGAAGGGAAATGTGTGCATATTATCATAGAAGGTATTTGGAAGAGGATGCATTAAGCCAATTTCAGACAGTTTATAGAACTGGTTTTTTTTTTTGTTCAAAACTCTGAGACTCTGATCATTATTCTGTCTTTTCTGTGGAATATAGTTATCTCTGAATGTATGGCCCTATCTCAGAAACCAACCAACCAACTGAAAACACCAATTTTTCCTCATTAACCACCCCTATTTTTGGCAAAAGAGCTCTCCCCATGTGCTCAATAAAACATTCAAGCTAAAATAGGGCATTTGCTTTGAAGTTCCTTTATTTATTCCAGTGTGCCTTTAAACAGAACAGTTCAAGTTCGAGTTGGCCAGAGTTCATGTTAAATTCTGCTTATTAATTAGTGTCTTTCTCCAGTTATATATTAGGTTTCCTCCTTGGAGATAGAAGAAGTTAGATGATTTCAGTATGGTCTCATAATTCATCTTTAATTGACCAAAAGAGAAGTAAATAATTATTCTAAAGTAGGAAATACAAGGAAACGTCTTGCACAGAACATGGCACATGGAGGTTACTTAGTCAATATTGATTTCTTTTTTCTCTGTGTACTAGAGATGCCTTAATGGTGTTAGTCAAGCCCCTTTGCAGCATTGCCTGGTTTGGATAGCACAATAGTAGCATCATGTCCTTTGTTCAGTCCTGGGATCACCTTGGAATGGACTGGTAGTTTATTTGAATCCAGAACTTCTTTAGTGTTTCTGGCAAATCACATCCCAGGTTTTGGGGTGTTAATTTTTCCATCAGTTATATGAGATATTAGATTGGTGCCTGCAGACTGAGATAATAATAACTAAAATTTGCAGAACATTTTACTACCTTGTCAGGCATATATTCTTATTTATTCCTCATAAAAATGTTGGTGATTTTATATGTGATAAAACTAGAATCTCAGAAAAGTTATGAAGGGACATCCTAGTAAGGAGTGGAGATAGATCTGGCTTCTGGTCTTCCTGCCTTCAAGACACTAATGTAGAAGAACAATAACAGTAGATATCATTTATTGAATTTTAAGTATGCTGTGTACTGTTTTGTACTTTATAGCAGCTATTTAATTCTTATGTCAAGTAGGTTAGTTGGGTCTCTTATTTCCAAATGACAGGAACACAACAATCTGAATTAAGCAAAAAAGGGAACCTGTTGGCAAAATTAACTGAAAAGGCCAAGGATGGACTTCAGATCTGACCACATGCAGATATTCAAACAATGGCAACAGGAATCTGTCTTCATCCTACTCACAGGCGTGCTTTGATCTTTGCTGCCTTGATTCTCAGGAATGAGCTCTACAGTGATGCCAATGATGGCTACCAGCAGCCAGCCTACATTCTATAAGTGCAGTCATCCCAAGGGGAGGAGAAGGGCTCTTAGTAGTTCTAACAAATATTCAAAGTCTGATAGAATAAATAAATTGGCCAGGCCAGGATCAAGTTATGTGATCACCCAGAACCTAGAAGAAAAGTATTAGCCTCACCTACATTCCATGAGGCAACATTGAGGACAGGTGATTTCCTATAAGAAAGAGGAATTTTGTTCAGAAGGGGTGCTGAGCAGGTGAAATCACAGAGATCTATTATATCTGTCATATGGGGGTAAACTAACTATTATCCCATTTGATACATGAGAAGGAGACTCTGAGAGGTTAAATAACTTACTCAAAATTACTTAGCTAGTAAGTGGCAGAGCCAGGACTAAGACCAAGATTTGTCTGTCTTTATATGGTGAGATTTCTAGAAAATTAAGAGAGGAAGGCAAGAAAATTGTGGAGTGGCAGAGAGTCTTCAGGGAACAGGTGGGATTAGAGTTGAATGAGTTTGACATGGGAGGGATAGACCAGTAGGGAAAATCTTCCAGGCAGGAGAACTATCAGCTGAAGTAGAGAGGCTGCACAGAGCAAGGTACAGTCAGAGCACAAAATATAATTGACCAATTGATCATGGTGGCAGAGAGGTTAACTGTTGTTGTCATCTTTCTTAGCTAACTCTGGAGCTAGGCTGCCTAGGATTCACTCCAAGCTTCCAAATTTGGTAGTTGAATGACCTTGGGTGGGTTACTTAACTTCCATAAGCCTTAGTTTCCTCATCTGTAAAATGAGAATAACAGTTGCATCTATTCCCAGGTTATGGAGAGGATTAAAAGAGTCAATGCATATAAAGAACTTAGAATTGTACTTACTCAAAATAAGTATTAATGATGAACCGTTATTATAGTAAAAAGAAAAAGGTAAACTTTATTTTTAATGTTTGGATATTTATATAGTTCTACTCTGATGTGCATTGAACATCAAAGTTTCTGTTTTTTCTATATATAGTAACTTTTCCTTTCCTAAGGACGCATCTAGTTATGGAAATTAATGTCTTGTTTTGGCACATGAACTTTTGTATAGCAACATTTCGTAAGGGGCCTTGATAACTACCTCATAGGCCTATTCATAAACGATAGCACGGTCTGGAATTGCTTAGTTGCATTCCTGACCACCCCAAATAAAGGATAGCATTTGAAATGCAATAAAATGCAATCACAATTAATTTTGATGAAAATGTCTCTGGTTAAGGTTAATAGACAGTGAAACTCCCACTTTCCTGGATTGTTAAGCAGATGTACTCAGATGCAGTAATTACTGACTTTTAAAGACAGAACTTTCCTTTCTGAAGGCACATGATTTTTTGGTATTGCTATTGTTTTTAAGTACTTCTTATTTATAAGTTAGCCTATTAATCCATTTTAAGTGTCAATCAGCTGGGATCTGATTTGGTTAATTGGTTGGTGGTTGTGGGATTGACACTAAATTAGATTTATTCTATACTAGCATTTTATAATGGTTGGACACCCTGACTTCATTATTTCAACCAACCAAATAGGTATTATATCCAGAAAAATCTCACATATAGTACTGCCTGCAACAGTAATACCTACTGCATCTGGCTTCAAAGAGAGATCAAAGAGATTCACTTAGTTGGTATGAAAATTGGAGACAAATTTGAATGTAGATAAAGTGACTATGTTATTCATTGTCCAAACCAGAATATAGCAGCAATAGGCAAAAAATGGGCCATTTCAGTCAAACCTAGGTATATAGTCATGCTGAGAAACATTTCACAAACTCAACCTTCTTTAGTTTCTACGTTTATAGTTTTTTGACAGGAATTGCAAACTCACATGCCTTGAGGATCTAGGATGTTAACATAAATAAGAAACAGGTTTGCAAGTAAGAAAATTTATGATGTTTGGTTCTTTCAGCTTGATTTTTTTTAGGGGGGTAGAGATGTATCAGTTAGCAATTGCCATAATAATGCTGTGTATCAAACTACCCCCAAACTTGGTGACTTAAAAGCATCAATATTTATTCTCACAGAGGGGCATCAGCAACCTAAGGGAAACTTCTGATGATAGCAACAGAGGCACAAGAGAGTAAGCAAAAACATTTTAGGCCTCGTAAGGCCTTAGCCAAAGCAAGGCACGTGGGTAAGCTTATAGTCAAAGACTGGGGAAGTACACTCTATCCATGAAGAGAACATTGTAAAGGAGCAGATACAAGGAGGGGTGAGGAATTGAGACCAATCATTCAATCTGTTAAAAAATAAGATTTGGAGAAATATTTCTCTATTATAAGAAAACCATTAACAAACATAATGAAAAAGTTACATTAGCCTTAGTACATGGATACAATTGAGAGTGGTGGGGATTGTGGGGAACTCAAGAGCCCATGTTTCATTGAGAGGAGTTGGGACCACTAGCTTTGGCTGGGTGTTGCCACAAAGGTGGGCCGAGAGTTGAGGGACCTTCTGATTGCCATAAAATGTGAATTTTTATGTGAAATCCATGGAATTTTTAGAAAGTTGATTCAGCTTTTTTTAAAAAAAAAAAAAACACTCTATGGGTCTAGTGAAGCACATGTCCTTGTGAATTGATGGTTTATTTGTAGCCTGAATTGCACAGCCTCAAGCTCTGATCCCACTGGTTTCACATGATATAAATAAAGAACCTAGGAATGCACCCTAGCTAGCTTAGCTTGACCCATTGAAGAGAGATGGCAGTTTAGTGTATTTGTGTGAGCCCTTTTTTTTGTCAGAAAATACCTTGAATTACTGTTTCTCAGAGGAAATACCCACAGTCTATAGGAATAGAGAGACTTCTTAATTTAACTTCTAAAAAAATATTTTTGAAAAATTGACAAGGAGAGCAGGAAGGGAAAAATAAAGATCCATGAAGTTAAACTGTTTAGTGTCCAAATACTGACCCTTATTATTTTTAGCTCAGCACCTTGAGTAAGGCAGAGAATCTCTCTGACCCTCACTTTTTTCATCTGTAAGTGGGGATTACACTCTCTACCTCCCTGGGTGGGTTAAATAAGATGAGGTTTGTGAAGGAGCCTAGCATAGTAACTGATCTGTGTGGGGTTTAGTTACTAGAGCTTTCTCCCAGAGAGACTGATAATGAGCTTTTAACCATTGAAGACAGTGGCCATTGGGAGTATCGCCCAACAAATCCTTTGCAACTATTTTTACTGATGGGTAATACAGACAGAGAGCACACACTAGTAAATAAAAGTTTCCAATAAAGCATTAAAAAAATTTTGGGCAATAAGGAGGAAAAATTAAAACATTTTTCAAGTTTATG